AAATTAAAAAATTAAAAAAAAAAAAATACTCCAAGGTAACATCCCACCCAGGACTGCCTCTGACTAAACAGGTCAGCCTTTACCTAAATGTTTATTATCTTTTTTTTTTTTTGTCAGTAGCATTTGTGTGTGAAATTCTAACCAGGTAGGTTAAAACCAAAACCTTTTTTTTTAATTTTTTTCTTCTTCAGTTTTTTGAGACAGGGTTTCCCTATGTATTTCAGGCTGGCCTTGAACTCACCATGTAGACCAGGCTGGCCTTGAGCTCACAGTGATTTTTATGCCTCAGCCTCCTAAGTGCTGGCATCACAGGAGTGCACCACAGAACATTTTTGAGACAGGGTCTTACTATGTAATTCAAGTAAGATTTACATAGTAACCTCCAATTGACTCCACTGTAAAGGCTGCCCTCAAGCTCGGGATCCTTATGCCTCAGCCACCAAGTGCTAGGTTACAGGCATGAACCACCATATCTGGCACTGCTTTGGGATTTCTTTGCTTTAGGGATTATTTATTTTTGAGGTTCTGGGGATTGAACTTTGAGCTACATCTCTAGCCCTCATTTTTTATTTTGAAGCAGGGCCTCACTAAGTTGTCCAGGCCAGGCTCAAACTTGATCCACCTAGCCCACCCTTCCAGAGTGCTAAGATTATGGATGCCTGCCTTGACTCAGGTTTTTTTGTTTGTTTGTTTGGATTTTTTAAATTTTTTTTGCTGAACCAGGGATTGAACTCAGGCCCTTGAGCTTGTCAGGCAAGCTCTTATTCTATTGAGCTATCTCCCTGCCCCTTGTATTTTTTAAAGGTAAGTTCTCACTATGCAGTTCAGGCTGGCCTTGAAAAATAGGCAATCCTCCTGGCTCAACCTACCACATGCTGGGATCACAGACATGTGTCACCAATCTTGGCCAAGGGGTTAACTGAACGTGTGTTATTTTGAAAATATTTGGAGATTTTTCTAGGTACCTTTGTTACTGATTATTTTTTCTCTTTTATTTATTTGGTACAGGGTCTCACTACACAGCAGTTGATCCTCCTGTCTCAGCCTCCTCAGTGCTGGGATTATAGGTGTGCCAGTTTTAGAGGCTGGTACGTGGTATACTTGGGATTCCAGGCTGGCACCACATGTGGTAGCAGGAATCGAACTTGGATCCTTGCACTTGCCAGGCAGGCACTCAGACTACTAAGTTATCTCCCCAGGCCCTTTGTTACTGATTTCCAACTAAGTTCTTCTGAAGTCAGAAATTTGTTATTGTTTTGTTATTGTGTGTGTGTGTGCAGAACCAGGGATTGCATTCAGGCCCTTGTGCTTGCCAGGCAAGCACTTATTCTACTGAGCTATCTCCCTGGCCCATATTGTTGTTTTTTGAGATAGGGTCTTGCCATGTAGTTCAGGCTCGCCTTGAACTTAACTATGTAGCCCAGGCTGGCCTTGAACTTGAGGAGAGCCTCCTGCCTTAGCTTCCTGAGTGCTGGGATTACAGGTGTGCATACCACATCTGGCTATGAAACATTTTCCATGTGATTTGAATCCTTTTAAATTCATTGAGACCTGCTTTATGCTCTAATACATGGTCTAACTTACTGAAGCCCCATAAGCACCTGATTACGTATGTAGAGCACTAATCCTATGAATAGAAATGGAAAAGTGGCCAAATTCATGTCTATTGCCACAATGAAAATACACCAGTCAAGGGAGAGAAAAAGACACATGAAGAAACAATAAACATGTGAGGCCATGTATCTGCTATGAGCTGATTTAGCCACAGTGTGCAAATATTTTAAAACATCTTAGCCTGGTATGGTGGTATGTGACTGTAATCCCAGTATTCCTGGAAGGCTAAGGCTAGGAGATCTCAAGTCTGAGGCCAGACTAGCCATTTTAGCCTGTCTTAAAATAAAAAAAAAAACAACAAGAAAGGCTGGATATGTAGCTCAATAAGTGTAATCCCCATTATCAAAAAGAAAAAAAAAGCATAATATACAACATAAATATACACAACTTTTATTTGCAAATTAACTACAAATAAAAAGTCTCTGGAAGATTAAAAAAGGTAAAGCACCCAGTTCCTGGAGTATGGCCCACTCCCTATGGCAGATGGGAAGTCCAGAGTTTCCAAGTTTCTCCACTTAGAAGAAGACAGTCTCTGGAGGAAGATGTAATTTATGTGTTTGTGGACTCCAAAGGACATGTAAGGGGGGGAACTACCCACTCCCCCCCTCCCCCATCCCTCTCTTGGACAGGAGCTTTCTTTCCCTCAATAAATATATTCTGCTCATAAAAAAAAAAGGACATGTAAGAATTCTTCTTCAGGCCACCTCATAAGTAATGTGTGCACAAAAAGCAACAGGACAATGTGATCTCAAACCATGAGCAACAAAAACAGTGAATAAACTAGATTTGGTCAAAATTAAAAGTATTCTTTGAAGGATGCCATTGAGGAAGTAAAGAGACAAGCACAGAGTGGGAAAGACATTTAGCAATCCATATATCTGATAAGGGACCTTCATATAGAATATAAAAAAAAAACTTATATGTAACAAAAATGACAGCCCAACTAGAAACAGGCAAAGGACCGGGTGTGATAGAGCATGCCTGTGATCCCAGCTCTTCGGGGGCTTGAGGCTGGGGAATCACCACGAGTTTGAGGTTACCCTGGTACATGAAGTGAGTTTGAGCCCTGCCTAAATTATATAGTGAGACCTTGTCATAAAACAAATGAACGAATGAACAAATGACAAAAGACCTAGATAGACACTTCTCAAAAGGAGGTGTACAAATGGCCAAGAAGCCATGGAAAGTGCTCAGCATCATATGTTACCAAGAAAACGCTGGTCAGAACCATGGGGTGATGCCACTTGACACCCATGAGGGGGCTGAATAAAAAAGCCAGAAATGGGGGCTAGGGAGATAACTCAGTAGCATAAGTGCTTCCCTAGCAGGTGCAAGGGCCTGAGTTCAATCCCTGGTTCCGCGAAAAAAACAAAACAAAACAAAACAAGCCAGGAATAGCAGTGTTGGGGAGGACATGACATGAGCTTCCACACTGCTGCTGGGGGCCATGTAACCTGGTGCCCCTGCTCTGAAAGCAGTCTGGAAGCTCTGGAAAGAGAGATTTTCTAAGTGACTTGGCAATTCCACTTTCAGGTATCTACCCCCAAAGTGAATCACAGGAATGCTCCGAGCAGCACACTCACAACTGCCAATGGGCAGAGGCAGCCAAAGTGTCCACCACAGAGGAGCAGCTACACAGAATGGGGACCAGCCCCACAATGACTACAACATAGTCAAACCTTGAAAACTCCTGCTAAGTTAGCACCAGACACAGTAAGACTATGTCTCTCCAAGGCTCTGCATGTTTGGTCTTGCCACTATCTTCTGTGGAGACCTCTTCTTTGTTTACCAGGTTCTCCCCATGCACCTGCTATAGTCACACACAAGATGATCCAGCAGCTGCTCACAGTAGCCATTCACTCAGGCAAGGAAAGACCAAGAGGGCATCTCTGATGGTTGTATCTATATGTCCCTCCAAAGCCTCATGGGTTCATAGATGGGGCTTCTGGGAAATGACTGGGTCGTGGCTGTGTGATGCTGGATTAGGGTTTGCGATACTGGGATTTAAGGGTGTGTGATAAATCGGTTTATTGTAGATCTGGGTGTGGGTAATGGAATCCTCACATTGGTTGTGGGCAGCACCACCCAAATGCTTGTAGCCTGCATGGGCTAAAAGAGAAAAGGAGCCTTGTTACTGCTGTAGCTGCTGCCACCACTGCTGCCTGTCCTGCCATAGACTGTTTCTCCTCTGCAATGTCTGTCTGTCATGTTCCACTCTGCCTTGGAGCCAACTGACTATGGAATAAAACCTTCTTAAACTGTGAGCTGAAATAAACTTTTTTTCCTTCAATTTGTGGGTGTCCGGTACTGTGCCTCGGAAATGAGAAAAGTAATTAAGTCAGCATCCAAGGTTAGTGGAATCACATCTGGCATTTTCCTGAGCCTGCCGACATGTCCCCCTCCAAGACCTGGAAACCTTGAGTGTCAACAGGCCAATCTCACCTTCTTTTTGAGCTGTACCACCAGCAAGTTCAAGAGGTGCACTCTGTGTCCAAGCTTCCTGAGCACCAGTCCAGCGGATGCCTGGCCAGCACAGATAGAGTCTCCTGTGGAGAAAACGCCAGCCAGGCTCAGTTCTTGAAAACTAGAAATGTCCCCCACAAGGCCCACAGAGGATACTGGCTGTCTCGAGGAGCAGATGACCCTCACTGGGCTCAAGAGGTCAGTTCCTTATGATAATCAGAAATGTGCTGTATATGAAATGTAATCCTGCACAAAGAGCAAAATAAAATCCAACCTGACACACAGTCTCTGTTGGAGTCTCTCTACTTATACACGGAGCCATTTGTTTGAAGTAAGAAAAAAGATGCCCACATAATTCATGGGTCAAAGAAAAAATCATAATGGACATTACAAGTTATTGTAACAGAATGTGAATAACAAAACTACTTATCCATTCATGTTATGCTGTCTTCTTGAGAACATTTATAGCTTTGGGTTCACATTTTAGAAAAACAGAAAGGCTGAAAATCCATTAGCTGAACATTCATCTCAAGAAATTAGAAAGATAAGCAAATAAAGTTGAAAGAGAATGAAGTTAGATATTGAGGAAACAGAAACTGTAATAGATGATCAACAAAACCAAATTGAGAACTGTGTTTGCTGTCGCTCTCTCACACCAGTGTTGCCTCTCGCTCACTGAGCTCCAGCCAAAGGAAAAGGGGGTAAGGAGGTCCCTGTACCATGGCTTGTACCAAGCACACTGCCCATAAATCCACCGGTGGTAAAGTGCCCAGGAAACAACTGGCTACAAAACAACTGGCTGCTTGTTAAGAGTATGCCTTCTACTGGAGAGGTGAAGAAACCTCATCATTACAGGCCTGGGAGTGTGGCACTCCGTGAAATTAGACGTTATCAGAAGTCCACTGAACTTCTGATTCGCAAGCTTCCTTTCCAGCATCTGGTTCAAGAAATTGCTCAGGACTTCAACACTGATCCGCGCTTCCAGAGCACAGCTATTGGTGCTTTGCAGGAGGCACGTGAGGCCTATCTGGTTAGCCTGTTTGAAGATACCAGCTTGTGTGCCATCCGCACCAAATGTGTAACAACTGCGCCAAAAGATCCAATTAGCACGCAGCATATGTGGAGAACGTGCCTCAGTCTACTATGGTGGGAGACATTTCATTCTCAATAATTTTTTTTTTTTGGGAAGAGGAAGTCCCGCCCCGCCCCTTTACTCCGAGGCCGGAGCTACGCGAGCAAGAGGGGAGTAACGCGGAGGTTGCAGCTGCCACCATGAGCCTCCTCAACAAGCCCAAGAGTGAGATGACCCCAGAGGAGCTGCAGAAGCGGGAGGAGGAGGAATTTAACACGGGTCCACTTTCTGTGCTGACCCAGTCAGTCAAGAACAACACCCAGGGGCTCATCAACTGCCGCAACAACAAGAAACTGCTAGGCCGGGTGAAGGCCTTTGACAGGCACTGCAACATGGTGCTGGAGAATGTGAAAGAGATGTGGACTGAGGTCCCCAAAAGCGGCAAGGGCAAGAAGAAGTCCAAGCCAGTCAACAAGGACCGCTACATCTCCAAGATGTTCCTGCGTGGGGACTCTGTCATCGTGGTGCTGCGGAACCTGCTTATCGCTGGCAAGTAGGCGCCGCCTCTCTGCTTTCAGGACCCGCTCCAGCCCCATGAAGACTTGTCCTTGAAGACCTGTCCTTGAAGACTTGTCCTTCATCACTGTATTGATAATAAAGTGCTGTGTGGTTTTTTTTTTTTTTAAAAATAATAATTTTTTTTTCCTCTTCTTCCTGTTGTTGGTAGTTTTGAATGTTAGGGTTCCCCCCCCATGGAGTCAAAAGGTACCTAAGTACATGACTGGGAGTGGAAAATAAGGGACAGAAATCAGGTATTGACAGTCTTTTCATTTTCATTTTCATTTGTGTGTGAATTTTTATCTTCATGTGGGATGTAAAGCATTAATGTAAGTCAAAAATGTTTCAGTGAACAAGTTTCAGCACTTCAACTTTATAACACCTATAAATAAAAATCTGTTAAATTTTTCTGGAAAATGCCAGAATTTGCATTTTTTAAAATAAGTACACTTCTTATTGACCGCAATTAGGTGGTGTTTGTAGCATTTTTACCATACAGTAGATTCCATCCAGTCACTATACTTTTCTAACTGAGTTGTCTTATATGCTAGTACATGTTTTAATGTCATCTGTCTTTCTGTGCTGTTCCTGTAAGTTTGCTATTAAAATACATTAAACTGCAAAAAACAAAAAAAAAAATTAAGGCCAGAGAGATAGCTCAGTAGAATAAGCGCCTGCCTGGCAAGCACGAGATCCTGAGTTCAAGCCCTGGTGCCACAAAAACAAAACAAAAACCAAACTGAGTCTTTAAAAAGACTAAAAATCAGTTAATTTCTGGTGAGATTAAGCAAGTAAGAATAATGGAGACTAGAAGCAAAAGTCCAAGGGGCTGGGGAGATATCTCAGTAGAATAAGTGCTTGCCTAGCAAGCGCAGGGTCCTGAGTTCAATCCCCGGGACAGAAAAAAAAAAAAAAAAAAAAAAAAAGAAGAAGCAAAAGACCAACCTAACTTGTAGGGAAAGGTCCAGTGGACAAATAGGACAAGCAATTGTATGCTACAAGTTTAAAAATCTATGTGAGGGGCCAGGGAGATGGCTCAGTAGAATAAGCGCTTGCATGGCAAGCGCAAGGTCCTGAGTTTAATCCCTGGTACTGCAAAAAATAAAAATCTAGGTGAAACAGGTAATTCTTAACATAATACAACATCCAAAATGATGCCTCCAAATAGATGTACTGTTGCATGCCTGTATTCTCAGTACTTCTAGAGGCTGAGGAAGAAAGGCTGCAAGTTCAAACTCAACTGGGCAACTTAGCAACTTAGCAAGACCCTGCCTGAAAAAAAATTTTTTTGAAGGACTAGAGGCCAGGTATGGTGGTGCATACCTATAATCCTAGCACCTGGAAGGCTGAGGCAGGAAGATTACTGCAAGTTTGAGACCACCCTGTCTGCAAAGTCAGTTTGATCAATCCCTGGTTCCGCCAAAAAACAAAACAAAACAAAGTCAGTTTGAGGCCAGCCGGAACTATGTAGTGAGACTGTCTTAGAAAAAAAAAAAAAAAAAAAAAAGTTGAGGTGGGGGGGAGACACAGAGGTACATACACAAAAATTTGAAAGTCCTTTAAGTATGAACAAAATTGAATTCATAGTTCAAAACCTTCTCACCAGGAAAATTCCAGCTTCAGGTAGTTTCAAAGTAGAACTCTACAATTTTTCTCTGGTGGGGAGGGGTGGATGTAGAATTTCTCAATAAAGCATCAACAAAAGAAATCTAGCGATGCAGACCACAAAGAGTTCACACAGCATGACTCTTCACTCTGGAACTGCAAGGTCAAAGTTGTAAGAGCAAATGTGTGCACCCTGTCCCTCCCACCAGTCACAACTAGACATCTGGCAACAAAGCAGCCACTGTGGGGAGAATCTGCGAGGTGAGGAAAGGACAGCCCTGATGTTAGGGACCTGGGTTCCAGAGCACAACCTACCATGAACGTCCTGTCCCTTCTTATTTCCTGTAACTCCTGGCTTGGTTGCTTTCAAAGGATCCTGAGCCATAGAAACATCAATGGGTTTTGAGAAAACCCAAGAAAATCTGCTCCTTGGAACCAGAGTGAGGAAAAGACACCTGCTCTCCCTCGAGGGCTCTTACCTACCACCCGAGGGACCCTCAAGAGACAGCAGGGGTCTATACAGAGTCCCTGTGGCACCCACATGTGATGCCAGCCATAGCTGGTATGGCAGGTTCTGGAGAACTGAACTCAGGGAACACAGAAGGGGCTTGAGTCTCAGCCTAAGGCCTTGCCATGCCTGCTGAGCAGACAGTAAACAGGTGGATCTCACTCAGGAACAAGGAGGTACATACAAATCAGAGCTTGGAAAGGACCACCAGGCACGTGAGAGGCAGTGTCACTAACCGCTGATGCTGATGGAAGGCTGGCTAGAAGATGGGAGGCTGTCTGGCACAACAGATGTGTCAGTCAAGAGAAGCCACACAAAAGCACACACACTTCCATTCCCATGAGGGGTGAGGAGGTGGGGTGCCAGTTGATTCTGGGGGAGCACAGATAGCTCTGGGTCAGGTCATGGGGAGCACAAGGGCTGGGAAAATCCATTTGGGTCCCACAGTTCAGCTTTCAAAGAGATAGTATACAGGTCAGGGCCTGTTCCTCACCAGCAGCCTCTACAGAGGAGTGGGCCTTGGGGTGGGGTTCAGCAGGGTCTGAGGATGTCCTTGCAGGCTGCCATACACCTTCCAGCTGCTCTTCCAGGCCTTTCAGTTTGTGCTTTAGGTCTCGCATTTCTGCTTCGAGGGCCAGAACGCAATCTGCCAAAAACACTGAACCTATTACCCACTGCCCACATGCTTCACACCCCAGCTCTCCCATGGGGTTTTCTCCTTCCTAAAGGCCTGGCCCAGTACACAGGCTGTGAAGCACCACCCACCCCTTGTCCGCCTGGGCCCAATATGCCTACCATGAGCCCTGCCCTTTCCCCCTTTCAGTATGAAACTCAGGATTCTCTTGGAGGAAAACCAGTGTCATACTTGGAAGTGATTTTCTAAAGGCTGTGTTCACTTGCGAGACAGACAGCAGGGCCTGCCTGACTATGCAGCCACCATTGCCTGGCTTCCCTACTCACCAGGAGGGGCTGTGTCTCCTCTGGCCCCTGGATCAGGCTGGTCACCATTCCGGGTGTCCCTCACTAACTGCGCAGGAGGAGGCATCTGGTTGCTGAGTGTTTCCATTTCCCGCCTCATCTGCGTGATGGCATTCCGCAAGCTTGTGTTCTGTTCTTGCAGCCGCTGGATCTCCCTAGATGGAAAATCTTTACTTACTTCTTCTTTTTGCTGTTTTAGGGGCATCTGTCAAACACATGTGGAAAAGAATTGTTATGGCCACAAAGAAATGGAAGGTTTCTGCTGCAGGCTGGCTTGGCCTCCTGTTCCCTTGTGCCACCTGCTCACTTCTGCCTTCCCAAGCTTCCCAAGCTCAAAGGCACACAAATGACCAGACCAGAGTCAGGCAGTGAGTGAGTGAGTGTGTGTGTGTGTGTGTGTGGGCATGCACACATGCGTGTGTATGTGCTCTCCAAAGCAGGGATGCTGAAAGGAAACAGGCTCAGCTAGAGAGGGCAGAGAAGTCCTGGGGACAGACAGTGTATATGTGCTTCTGCCACTGAACTACACACTGAAAAAGGGTGAGGATGGGATATTTTACACACATTTTAGCACTGTAAAAATGCCTAGCTAGAATGGGCCCACGGGCAGATCAAAAAGCAAAGAAGAGCAGTGATCATGAACACACAGCAACAGAACACACTCAGACTGAGGTGGAAAGAAGGCTCTGGAAAATAAAGATGGTGAGCAGAGCTCCAGAGGCTGTGGGAGTCTAGGATGGGCTTAAACTTGCAATCCCCCTGCCTCCGCCTCCCAAGCACTGGGTTTACAGTCAGGCACCACCATACCCCGCCTGTGACTTCATCAGAACTCTCGCATATGCAGCAGTCTGATTCCGCTGAGGTTCCACACTGAGATTCTGAGGTCTGAGCTTGAACCTGTCTTTCTCGGGACCATAGCTCAGCCTTCAGAAAGCCACTACTCTTTTGACTCAGATTGCTCAGTCACTGCATGTGAAGACATGTGTCTCTGGGACAAAGTTCAGCCTCTTAGCCAGGCTTTAATTACCAAAAGCTTCGTAGTTGCACTGAGATTTCATCATGGACGTGTGAACACACACTGGATTCTTCAAACCAAAGAAGCCAGCAGGGTAGGAGCAGGACTTCAAAGCTCAAAAGGGAGCAGTTACGTGGCTCCACCAGCTGCGATGATCTGGTGGGATGCTGGGTGTCCCCACGGAGCCCAAGTGCTGGCGGTGGTGCTCTGAACTTCGGCCTTCCTGCTCCTTCCTTTGCACTGCTGCAGCCTGACCAGCCTATACCTCCACAGCCTGGTGGCTCTGGGCTAAGAGGCTCTTCTAGGTCTGAACAATTCTTAGTTGGTAAAGACCGTGGCCTCACACATGCACTCTGACCTCACATGCCTGGGCTCAACCACTCCCAGGTCCCCTGTGTCCTCAGGAAAAGGGTGGAGAGAGCTGAGAAGCTACACACATTCTTTGCCCTTCTTAGGGCTGCCAACTTCTTCCTCCACAACAAAATGAGCTGCAGCAGAGACTCAATAAATATGGGAAGAAAGTCAGAATGGCTGGGGACCACTGGAAGGGGTGACAGACACATTCTACATTTTGTTAGAGGTGGACTCTGCCATGGACATGAGGATCAGTGAATGTCACTGCCTGTGAGTACAACTCAAAAGAATTGGCAAGGAGAAAAACCACCAAAGCCAATTGCAGGCATGGAACAACATGCTCCTTCTCCCCCTAGGTTTGTGCCACCTGACAGCTGTGATAGCTCAGGTAAGGTCTTCAAGGTCCCTGGGTCTTGGGGACTAAATAAACTGAGGGGTGTTACAGGCTGAAGGATGGTGGTGTAGACTGAGTGTGTAGCTGCTGACGATTGTTGTCCCTGCTAAACACTAGGAGCTGCAGGACAGATACAGCATGAATAACCTACCATGCAGCTCGGAGAAGACCACAGCAACAGTCTGCGTTCACTGCTGGTACTGAGCCATTTGGTGATTTTTTTTCAGTGCTCAGCATGGAGCCCAGAATCTCACTTATGCTAAGCACTTGCTCCAATGCTTCACTGGACCAGCTGAGTCTTATTTGGGCCTGGCATTTTTACAGTTTCAAGTGCTAAAGATGAAAACAGATTCAGAACCCTGGGTTTATCTGTTTTAATCCTTCACAGCCCCAGACTCACCTGTGAGCATGTAACCTGTCATCAAAAGGAGCATGACTGAGAAGGCTTGGCTAGGCTCTGTGCATATGGGTACCACCTCCATTGAAGCTATTGAGCAGAAGTTCAAAGAGCCAGCAGGGGAGGCAGGAGGAAGCGTATGCTCACCTGTGGCTCCTGTCTGGGGAAGAGCCCATGTGTCCGCAGCTCTTCCATGGCCTTGTCTCGCTCCAGGGTCACAGCCTTCAGCACCGCATCCTGCTCCTGCAGTGCCTGCTCCGTTTCCTGAAGCTTGGCAGCAACCTAGGAAACACCCACTTGAGGTTTGGGGGCAGTACTGGCCTCCAGGATACAGAGCCAGCCTGCCTCTTGCCTGTGAGATGCACAGCAGGCAAGGGTGAGACATGTCTTGAGAACTAGGGTGTACATATGCTTGAGATGCTGGGCCTTCCCTGTTGTGGCAGGAGTGACATCTGTGTTGCCCAGCCCCAGTGCCCAGGCCACCGTTGTATGGACCATACTAGTACCACTGAACCACTAGTCATCAGTGGGATGGGGGTATTAGCTAACACAATGAACCCCTGCTAGAGCCTGGTAGACAGGGCAGGGACATAATTTTACTACTGTGACTTTGCTGCCATAAGCCAACTAGCGAGTGAAGCTTAGTGCTTTCAAATGCACAGAATACATTAGTGAGAGCCAAACCCATCCTGCTCCAGCACTGTGCATGCTCCAGCCCTGTCTTCTGATGCAGGGGTGACCAAGGAGGTTGTGCTCCATGCAGCACCACACACACCTGATCTCTGGCCTTGGTCAGCCCCTGGATCAAGGCCTCTGACTTCTGGATCTGGTCTCTCTCGATGCTGTCACAGCGCCGTTGCCAGTCCAGGCCCAGCTGTACTTGGTCACGCTCCAGGCTCCGTTCCCTTTCGACAGCCTGGGATAGCTGCTGTTTGTACCTAGGGACGGATCCAAGTGGCCCACGTTAGCATTTCCTGAGTCCATGGTTGGCTGCAGCACGCAGGGGGTACTGTTCTATCTCCACGCAGGCTATACTGAGGCTTAAAGGCAGAAGAGTGCTGCTGTGATGCACACTGAGCCAGGGCCAAGGCTGAGAGCACCAAACACAAGGGAAGAGCCAGGCTGTGAAGCAGAAGCACAGCTGTGCAGGAAGACCACCAACAAAGCAAAAATTCTTAAAACCAAACTGGTGAAACCCTCTGAGGAACAGGTAAGTACAAGAGAGCAAGAGGCAGCACATGCAGCTTGGTGGCAGAGCCACCATGCAGCAGCGTGGGGGGTTGGTGACTTGAGAGGCTGTTAATGCCAGACACAGGGCTCCAAGCAAAGATGCCACCATGACAAGGGGGCAGTATTTTTTTTTTTTTTTTTTCAGAACTGGGGATTGAACTCAGGTCCCTGCACTTGCCAGGGAAGCGCTTATTCTACTGAGCCATCTCCCCGGCCCGGTGTGTGTGTGTGTGTGTGTGTGTGTGTGTGTGTGTGTGTGTGTAATACTGCTGCAAGAAAAAGGGCCAGTTCATAGAGAAGACAGGACAGAGTGGAATGCTCATGCCCGATGGGGACTTCACAGCCTGTAAGAATGAGAAAGCTGACAGACAGCTAAGCCACAGAGGCATCTCCAGTGAATGACAGAGTCAGCAGATGGACCATGAGTACACAGGCAACAGCACCTCTATCCTCCACCAATATGGCCCAAGTGACAGTCCCAGAGCCTGGGCCCAAAGTGGACAGAACATCCTTTGCAAGTCCTTGTGGCCAGCTGCTGAGACAGAAAGGAGGGAGCACAGAGGAAACATATCTCTCTAAATGTATTCCATCCACAGCAGGGTTAATTTAGAAATTAGAACAAAACAGCGTCTGGGAAATTCAAAATAATAGGAAATAATACCACTTTTCTAAATTACCCATTGCCCAAAGAAGAAATTACAAGGGAATTATTGAATTATTATAACTGAGTATCATAATCTGGGATGTAGATAGCTGTTCTTGAAAGAAAACTTATAGTATGAACTGCTTAGAGAACAATTAGTCATCCAAACCAATTAATCATTCAAATTTCTCTATTAGGAGCCACCAGAAATACAAAAAATTAAGAAAACTAGAAGAAAAAATAAAGAGCAGAGATGGATGAAACTGAAAACAGAAAAGCAATTAAAGTCAGAGGGAAAAAAAGTCAGAGAAGGTGGGCATGGTGGTATACACCTATAATCACAGCACTTGGAGGCTGAGGCAGGAAGATCACACTGAGTTTCAGGCCAGCTTGGGCTACATAGAAAGACTCTCTAAATAAATAAATAAATAAATAAATAGGCTGGGGTGGAGCTCAGTGGTATAGCACTTGATTAGCACGTGTGAGGCCCTGGGTTCAACCCCAAGGAGAACTAAAACAAAAGCATCACAAACACAGTTAAAATGGGGTATGTTTTATTAAATTTATATTGTTTCTCAATAAAGTTGATTTTACTACATTAGTGAAAACAGATTATCTTTATTCACAGACACTAGGACACCGACAGGCTGACACAGGACACAGGAGACCCTGGCATGGCTCTTGGCTCTCACACAGAGGGGAGGCCCTTCAGCCCAAGGCCTCTCAAGCTTACTCACACCCACTCCTCACCACTGACCTGTTTCTGTTTGTCTTAGTTTATAGTTTCAAATTGAACCCAAAAGAACAGGAGCCCGAGTCCACAGACCCAGCAGGGCTCCCCTCCCTGGAGGCATTTGCAGTACCTGTCCACGTCCTGCTGGGTTCTGACCAGCTGCGCCTTAAGTTTCAGCTCCTCTTCCCGCAGTGTCTGGACCTGGAGGTCTCTGGAGACCACCTCCTTGGACATTTGGGCGACCTGAGTGTCCCAGCTAGCTTTCTGAGCTGCTGCCTCGTCCCGAAGCCTGAGCAAAAGGAACTGTGTGAATTGGAGGTTTCCCACTTGTGGCCCTGGCACTCTGCCCCATTGTACCCTGATAAGCATATGCTCGCTGGGCCAGAGGAGACCCCACAGCAGTACTCAAGCATCTCCTTAGATAATGCAATAGTTCCACCTGGAATGAGATGGCCCCTGGTCCCACAGTCCCACATCCTGACCTGGCCACATACCTACCAAGTGTGGGGCCAGGTCATACATGGGCAGAAACAGGAGTTCCAAGGTCCACAGAGCTTGCTGGCCACACCCAGCACAGCATTTTGCATGTGTCCAAAGTGAAAGCAAAATGAAGCTCCAGATTATCAGTCAATCATTCAACAGTTCACCTCAGTGTCACTCATTCAGGCAGCACATTTGTTTACATACTATCTGAGTGTCACTCAGGCAGGTGTCATTTCAACCAGTCGATACTTGTATTGAATTTTTTTGCTGTTGGGGAGAGAGTGTCTCACAACTACTCCAAGATGGCCTTAAACTCACTATGTAGCCTAGGCTGGCATCAAACTCACAGCAATCCTCCTGCCTGAGCCTCCTGGGCACTGGGATTATAGGCATGCACCACCATACCTGGCTTGCATTGAATAAACTTGGTAAGATTGTTGTTTTTATATTTCTTGTTACATTCTTATAAAAATGAACAAAAAATACACAGTTTTTGTTCACATTATCTTTAAATAATTCGACTGCTAAGTGGTTAAACAGCTTAATGATACAATGACTCTAGAAAGATTACCAAAAATTGGATAAATTTCCCAAGCAAAACACAGAGAGAAGACACCCAGAGATACCAATTAGGGCAGGCATGGTCCTAACCTAAGCAAGAGGTCACTTGCCTGTGGTCCAACCATGCTCTGTTGTCCCCACACTTGGCTTCCAAGGCCACCGGGCTGGCCAGCAGTGACCCTGTCACACCATGCACAGACCTCCAGGGGCATCTGTGCCATGTGTGGCTGCTTGATGGGTATGACAGGTGGGGTGGGCAACCATAGACAAGGCTACTCCCAGGACAGAGGGGCCAGGCCAACCCAATTGGGGGTGCCTCCAGCCTGGCCTTGCTCAGAGTGAAAAAGTCATCTTGCCAATACTTTCGGATGTGATTTTGACAAGGGGGCTTCCGGACATCTGGGATACTGTCCCTGTCATGCAGACTTCCCAAGGTGAGGCCAGTCCACACCACCACCAGCCTGCCCAGAACCTGGCCCCAACGTAGGTTGCAGGGCATGGTCAGTGGGCTCTCACTGGAGACACAGAAGAACACGAGGCTTCCAGGAGTACAAGCACAGGCAAACAGGGCATCTGATCCTCCAGCAGGGGGGTGGCACAACCTCACCTGTCAATGATGGCATCCTTCTCCTTGGCAGCATCTGCCTGAGCCCACTCAGCTCTGCGCAGCTGCACCTCAAGGTTCTCACAGTGGGCCTGCAGCTCCTGCACCCTGGCATCTGATGCCTGTAGCTGTTCCACATGGGCGCCCTTCACCGCCACCAGCACTGCGTCTCTCTCTCTAGCCAGACGGTCAAGTTCTTCGTGTCTGAAAGACAAGGAGGGTGCCACAGCAGCTGAGCCAGGGCTCAGATCCCACTAAAGCATTTACAGCCCTTTCACAGACTGCAGCTGTCACGTATGCTTGTCCCTGGCAGGACAGCCCCGTCTCTGCATGCAGCACCTGCCCCTCTCCTCCGCAGGTATGCTCTTTGCTTCCACCTCATAAGCACAGATTGATGCTTGGAGCCCTGGATGCCCTCCTGAACTCACGATCCCTTATCAGACAGACACCAAATCAGTGTGTAACGCACAGCTCACACCCCGCCAGGATTCTTGGCCAGCCCACAAAGCAGAAGTGCAGGTGCTGCCTGGTGACCACCGGGTCTAAGGCATGAGCTTGATTCTGTGTGCTGAGTATACTGGCATGAAACTGTCTTACTTTGCCTGCTTCTCATTATTCATCTACTGAAGTAGTTCTGTGACTCAGCTTTGTTTTTGTTTTTTGGGGGAGAACCGGGGATTGAATTCAGGCCCTTGTGCTTGCAAGGAAAGCACTTATTCTACTGAGCCATCTCCCCGGCCCCAACTCAGCATTTTCACAGTATTCCACAATATTTCACAATATGCTCAGGAGTGGAGAGACTTACAGTGAAAACTTGGCAGGTCCCGCCCCCCCAATCACAATGGCCTTTCCCACTCACGTGACCCAGTGAACATGCTGCCTGCAGTGAAACTAAGTCCGCCAATCTGAAGTTTGGGGTGAGGGGTTGGGGGCTTCTGATGACAGCACTTTCTTAGAGTGTGATGCTGGCTGTCGTGCTGGTGTCGGTTCGGGCCAGCTCACAAGAAGCACTCTGCCATTCTTAAGAGTCCCAGAGTTCTGCAATCCTCACCTCCTTGCATGTGACTATTACAGGCACCTGGGACAGAGTGGCAGGTGCATGTGACATCTCTGTAGCTGTTGGATGAGCCCCCAAATCTGATCAGTGAGTGACTCCGCTGGACTCTTGGCAGGTCAATGCCAGGCCTCTGCTGCTACCAGACTGGGCTCATTACATTTCTGGCATACGGGCCACTGACAGCTGTGCTCAGGGTAGTCTCGAGGGGTGGTCCCAAGGTGGCCATGAAGAGCAAGACTGCTGCAGGACCCACTCAGCCCACATCTGGTGTTAGGGGCCCACTGACTCAAACACAGGATGTATCCTACTGAATAACTACTAATCTTAGCTCTATGGTATAGTTTTATAGATTATAGACTGGCAATTATCTTACTTTAGAAACTTTTCTGAACAGTTAGCACCTTTGACTCCAGCAAATTTTATTAATTTTAGTTTACATGACTGTACATAATTGCTATGGATGACTGATTCTGATTTTTTTCAAGCATAAAAAATATAACATGTTCAGTCCAGGTATGATAAACACATGCCTGTAATTCCAGCTACCTGAGAGGCTGAGGCAAGAGGGGCAAGGCCAATTTAACAACTCAGTGAGACTATGTCATCAAATAAACATTTCATAAAACAATAAACTAAAAATAATAGCTCAGGCAAAATCCTGTGGAGAAACAAAATGAGAGCAGGGAGTTCTGGGAGGAAAGTATACTGGGAAGAGTTTCAGGGTTCTGAGTCATGGCAGTGGGCATTAAGTCACTGTGAGCTCAGATTACGCTGAGACCATCCAAAGCAATAACTATCAGCCTTCACTCTTTATTTTATGTTTGAGACAGAGTCTCAAGGCTAGCCTTGAGCTTACTTTGTAGCCCAGGCTCTCAAACTCACAATGATCCTTCTGCCTCAGCCTTCCGCAGCCTTCTGACTGCTGAGATTATAGGTCTGTGCCACAATACCCAGCTGCCTTAATTCTTTTATTTTTGGCCAGCTCAGCCCACCCTGAGGGTGGGGCTGGCACAGCACGGTATGTGGTGCCAGGGATTGAACTGCAATCCCTGGGCGCTTGCCTAAGCAGGCGCTTTAGACCACTGAGCTATCTTGCCAGGCCCTTAATTCTTTCTTTCTTCATATATTTATTTTTCTGGCTGGCTTAACCTGGGGCTGGTGCAGCATGTGGTGCCAAGGATTGAACCACAGTCCTTGCAATAGGCTAAGCTTGCCTAAGCAGACACTTTAGATCGCTGAGCTATCTTGCTGGCCCTGCCTTAATTCTTTAAGGCAAGAAATTACCTCACTGTCTCTGGTCTGATTTGGAAAGGCTCCAGGTGCAGCTTTAATGCACACAGGGAGGGGACAACATCACCAGCCTTTTCTTGGCCTCCCAGGGAACCTAGGTAAGCAGCTCTGTACCTGGGTCTTGCTGTGTCCGTAGGTGACTCTTACAGACACATATCAGCATGAAACTGTCTTAGTTTGCCTGCTTCTCATAATTAATCTATTGAAATAGTTTTGTGACTCAGCATTTTCACAATACTCCTTCAATGCTGCAAATATGCTCAGGAGTGGAGAGACAGTAAAAACCTGACAGGTCCTACTCCCCAGTCACAGCAGCCTTTCCCATGCAGGAGACCCGGTGAACAGGCTTCTTGCAGTGAACATGCTTCCTCGTCTAGGCGAGGGCACAGCCCTCTCTTGCTGCCACGCTGAGGTACAGGAGCCAGGGATGCAGTCTCCAACCACTGCTCTAGCTAGGCATGGTGGTGCATGCCTACAGGCCCCAACTCAGGAGGCTGAGGCAGGACGATTTCTGTGAGTACAAGGCCAGTCTGGATTAGATAGTGAGACCTTGTCTCAAAAAATAAACACAAGGGCAAACAAAAACTGAAAAAAAGTGGCTCAGATGACACAGTAGAGCAACAAGCAGGTTCTTCAAAGTTTCCTTCAGGGGCCAGCAAGATAGCTCAGCAGACTAAGAGCCTGCTTGGGCAAGTACACGGATGGGGGTTTGATCCCCCCACCACATGCACTGGCCCCAGCCCAGCAGCCAGGTGCACTGAGCCAGCCACTGAGACCCGACATGGTGGCGCACACCTGTAATCCCAGCACTGAGAAGGCTGGAAATTGGAGGATCACTATGAGTTTGAGCTGCGTAGTGAGACCCTGTACTGGATACATTAAAACAAAGCTCTCTTCAGTTTGTAGGAATCACACACCATGGCACTAAAAATGTGAGAAAATATGAGAAAAGCCATCCATGGCTCCCTCCCTCGCTTTTAGGGCACAATGAATTCATTTACATCCCACATGTTTTTCATTTAGAGTCACTACAATGTGTCTTCAGAGAAGGAAAGTGATTCCTGTGGTGGCAGCTGAAACAGGCTTCTCCCAGGTCCACTTGTCCTAGCACTGCCTGCAGCCTGAGCTCCCCCAGGAAGCCAGCTCCCTGCCCTGCCCTCCTCCTGACCCCAACTCAGTTTACAGCCTAGGGGCTCCTTCGAGGTAGGCAGAGAACCCATGCTGCTCAGTCACCTCACCAGGAAAGGAGGCTCTCCAGATTCCTGAGAATCTTAGATTTGTGAAAACAAAACCATGTACTTTGCTATGATGATTTTAAAAATAAGTGTAAGGTTAAAAATAAAATACACAAAACAAAAACCAACAAAAATAAAATAAAATACAAAAGGTAAACAAACAGGAGGAATTAGGTCAGGCATGGTGGTGCATACCCGTAATCCCAGCACTGGAGAGGCTAAGCCTAGAGGATCATTGCAAGTTCCCGCCTGGCTACGAAGTCAGGCTGGGCTGATGACCAGTCTGAACTGCATAATGAGACCCTATCTCAAAAAGGCCCCCCCCAAAAAAAATGTATATATGGTAGGAATAAAAATTAAAGTTCTTAGCTGTAATCTAAAACTGATAAATAAAATTTCCAAGATTTTTAAAGTTTAAAAAAATTTTTCCCTTTGGTGCTGGGAACCACACTCAGCATGCTAAGCACATCTCTCCCACCATCTCTACCACATCTCTATACCCTTCGCCCTTTAAATGTTGCAGTGATTTTGTTTTTGGTGGAGCTGGGGATTAAGATCAGGGCCTTGCACCTGCTGTACATGTCGTCTACTACTCAGCTACACTGTAGTCTCTTTTAGTTTATCTTGAGACAGAGTCTCACTGTGTTGCCCAGCTGGCCTTGAACTTGCGATCCTCCTGCCTCAGCGCCAGTTAGCTGGGATTATGGGTACGTGAGACTTCCCAGATCCTTAGAAGTTTTAATTTTTTTTTTTTTTTTTGCGGAACCGGGGATTGAACTCAGGCCCTTGCACTTGCCAGGGAAGCGCTTATTCCACTGAGCCATCTCCCCGGCCCCTATTAAATTTTTAACATACTGAAAGCCTAAACACCCCAGAGGAAGCATGGAGCAGCACACACTGCGGACCCAAGGAGCAGCCCAGGCAGGGCCCGCCCTGGTCCTCTGCCCCAGGGGCTCCACACGCAGCTCCCCAGTATCACCTCTGCTCCTGGGGCAGTGACCGCGACACTCACTTCCTGTTGAACATCTCCTCTTCTTTCTTCCTGCTCAGCTGCACAGAGTGAAGTGTATCCTCTAAGTCCTTTATCCTACACACAAACAGAAGCAGCGGAAAAGCAGATAAGCAATGAAGGCTGGACTGGAACAAGCCACCCAGGGCAGACCAGTCACAACAGCTATGCTGTCTTGAGAAGACCCTCCACACCGGGCATCTTTCACAGCTTCCAGGTCCCGGAGCTCCCAGGTGCGGTCCTGAAGCTTCTGCTCTAACTCGGCGTTTGCTGTCTCTGCCCTCTGCAGACACTCTGTGGCCTGGGCTCCAGCTGCCTTCAGTGCTTCCAGCTCTTTGTTCAGCACTTTAACCTGAGGAAGATTTCAGCAGCACCACTTATGGCCACTGACCGTGAGCTTCCCAGCACACTTCCCAGCACTTCGGTCCCATTGTTACACACGCAATAGCAGCTGCACCCCGTAAGTATGTGTGATTACTATGTCAATTAAAGATTTAAAACTCAAGGGCCAGCCAAATAGCTCAGCAGATTAAAGCACCTGCAAAGAGGTGCACGGGCCAGGGGTTTCATGCACAGGCCTGCCATGCCGGCCCCGCCCCCAGGGCACGCTGAGATGGCAATAGACTGGGCATGGTGGCGGGCGCCTCTGATCCCAGCTTTTGGGAGGCTGTAAACAGGCGGATCACTATGAGTCTGATCTAGCAGTGAGACCCTGAACATCCTGTAGACCCTTCCCTAAAAAAAAAAAAAAAAAAAAAAAAAGATTTAAAACTCAAAACGAGGTTATAATTGGCACAAACAGAGATGTCAGAAGTGAACACTGCCAGTACTGAGAGGAAAGAAAATTAACATTCAAGAAGCAGAAAGTAAAAATGTGCTCACATCCATCCCCAGGACAAACTTTGAAGGCCTGAAAACCTTCGGAAAGCACCCTGCATCCCCACTATCCTGTGAGGGTGCCTCAGTCATATTCATGCCCTTTTTATAGCAGGCCTATTTAATTCCACTTATTTCGTGACACAAACCTTGAATATGATTTACACAGTGAATGAAGCCTGTTGTATAGAGAAGGGGAACATAAGGGTGTGGCCGGCTGCCAAGCCATCCTAGCTGCAGTGTTCTAGGAAGGCTTCCCAGCCTCTGGGAACCTCAGATGATGTCCATGGCAGCACCATGGGCAGAGATGTGTCCCTAGGTTGCACACTGGCAGGTGGCTCTCATCATGAACTCTGCTGTGAGGCTGGGGGTGGTCTGCTGCCTCACAGCAGAAGGGTGACAGTGGAGGGTTACCTTGGCTGTGCCCAGTCAGGCAGAGCATCCAAATCACTCACCTGTTTTCCCCTCTTTGGTGCTCAAAGGTTCCTACAGGGCCTTTGTGAGGGCCCGTGGGGGTCAGCTTTGACCTTGAGGCCAGACAGCTTTGATCTGGTTGGGTCAGTACTGCTTCTAAGGGCCTATGTGGAGGGCCCAACAGGCCACTGTGGTATCCACACAGGGCTCCAGTGCCAGGAAAGGCACTGGTGGATACGGCTGGCACTACCAGCCGTAGTAAGGGCACGGATGCTTGTGCCAGAGGTTAAGATGGGGGAAGGGGCTACTGGGCCTGGGCCCTAGGACTCCAATCACCTGTCCACTGCCCTCTAAGGTCCTTGTATCTCTCTGGGCCCAGCAGTATGCCTGGACTGCTACACTGTGGGGAGGTTGGGAGGCTTGGGGATGGGCCCTGTGCCAACCACAAAGGATGCAGCCTAGCAGTGACCAGCAGGGGACAGACCAGGGTTCATCCTTCACATCCTGTCCTCAAGCAGTAACATACCTGCTCCATTAAAGGCCCCTCAAAGGCTGGTCCCTGTCCTACATCCTCCAGATACATAACACATGCTCTTTATGCCCTTGAATAACTTGTAGTGGTGTTGCTCATGCTGTGTGTAGTGTCCTGTTAGAGGTAGGGCCCTGGTTCCAGCTTGCTATGCACCATCTGACAGCTTCAGACAGGCCCTAAACCCCCAGGGCCTGGGTGCTCTCTGTCACAAAATGGGGAGACACTTTCCCTTTGACTGTTCTGAGGATCACATGGGGCAGACTACAGTGGGTACTTCCTCAAAGTCTGGAGCAGCCTGACCAAGGTTCCCCTGACTGGAAAGAGATTCTGAGATGGGTCCTGCAGCAGATGCTGCCCTTGAACCTCACAAACCCCTGAATCCCACCCTAACCCATTTGGCTAAGGCTTTGATGGGAACCCTGTAATTTACAGCTCAGAAGTCACCCCACTATTCAAAAGATGGGTGCCTTTTGCTGCTATGGAAAAGTCTTCAGTGGAAGAACGCATCTGTTACCTTGAGCTCATGGGCTAAGACTGTGTTACTCATACTGTCAGCCTGAAGGCGGAACTCATGCTCCCGCTTCTGCATTTTGGATTCAAATTCCAGCAGCAGCTCCTAGAACAAAAATGTTCAGAGTGAAGAAAAGACTGCAGGTCCCAGCAAAGAACCCCCGTACATCAGTAAGCTGGGGAAGGATGTGGTCACCACCAAAGGACTGCCATACACACTCATAGAGAGGGTAGGCGTCAGTGACATCACCAGCAGGTCACCCATAGGGCCGAGGAAGTAGAGACCCTGGCAGCAGCGGAGGCCCAGCAATCTGTGAGCAGCAGTGAAGGCTCTAGCTGGTCCCGAGTGAGCTCCAGGAGACGGTGAGGTCCTGCTGCATCCAGCTCACACGAGCCCCTCTGCTCCTAGTCCCTTTCTTTTCCTTTAGCAAAGCTGCGATCAGCCAGGGGGTCCTCACCAGTACCACAGCCATGCTCTGTGGACCCTGAAGTCACCAGACTCATGAACCAAATAAACCGTGTTTTTATACTAACTGGTGTCAGGTGTGCATTAGAGCAACAGGAAGGACAATAAGACACTGTGGCTCTGCCTGCTCCTCCCTTTGTGGTCTTTTGGTACAAGGGGAAGCTGCCTGTGGGCAGGCTGAGGACCAACTATTGCAGGCTCACAGCAGCATGCAGGGCCCCCAGAGTCCTTCCTAGGGGCGTCCTCCTCAGGACCACTTTGCCAGGCTCCTGACATAAAGGAATGGCAGGAGGGAGCGTCAGAAACAGCTGCCTGCCCCAGAAGGCACATGTCCTGGCCCTGCCTGACAGGACCCATGAAACACCCAGCAAGGAATGGGCATGCTGTGCACCTGCAGCTGAGTATGGATGGGAGCCTCCAAACACTGTAGAACACACAATGAAAAACACGCATTGGGCTCTTTTAATCCTTTGAAAGGCAAAACTGAAAGCGAGTGGGCTCTTGAGTGCACTCAGAACGTGAAAAATTACCAATTAACTGACACCAATAGATCAGGAATCACCTGGGAGAAAGCGCTGCGGCCACTAGGGGGCAGGCTGTGACACAGGCTGTGGCCACTAGGGGGCAGGAGTGCCGCGCCACGCTCCACGTCTGCAGTGCGCAGGCCCGCCTGCCCCAGGGCACAAAGGCGGCCCGCTGCACCCTTACCGGCACGCCCTGCTCGCTTCCAGTTTGGCAGCCAGCTCTCTGCGGTCCCAAGGCCAACAGGCTGTGCCCTTGCCTTTGTGTCTTCACCGTCAAAGCTCTACTAATGTTTTGTGGACCACCCCTGGCTCGCCACCCAGAATCCTTTCCTACAAAGTCTACCCTTGCCCAGCACAGGCACTCGGCTGTGCAGGACCTATGCAGCCTGACCCTTCCCGCTGGACCCCATCTCAACAAGCAGCTGGTGGAAGCAAGCATGGCCCTGAGTGCCTGGCTTTTGCCCCGCCTGACCCATTTCTCTTCCACTGGCTCCCCTTCTTGGACAGATCAGGCTCCACCAGTTCTTGCCATCCAGGTCAATCCTCTGGGCTCGCCCCATCTGCCAGCTCTGCTGTCTTGGCCAGTTTGTCCTCATCTGAGGGAGCTCTGTTTGCACTTCCACTATGCTCAGCCCCTGCAGCCATCTTCTCATGCCACCTGGAGCAGAGCCTGACCCTCGCTGTGGTAGTATCCCCATCTAGTAACCTGCGAGCAGCAGGCACTTGCCTCCCTTCCACAGAGCACTCTGACGCCAGCTCTCAAGGGCTCCTTCTGACCACCCTGTCCTGACCCTCTCTATCACTGTGTCTCTCACAAGTAATGTCCTTGGCAGGCCAGGGCTGGACCTGGAGGTTCTGGTACAAAGGAAATAATGCAACTCCCAACCTGCCAGATGTCAGATCCGCTGAGTTTGTGTCCCCAATATAAAAAAATGACATCTAAGAAACAAGTTAAAAGTACAAAAAATTTATTGAGAGACAGCTCCTGACAAACAGAAAGGGACCAAAAACTAGGTTGTCAACTTCTCAAAGGAGGTTTTATTGAGCAAAAGTACCTGGATCAAAGTTATAATCAACCAAGTAAGAATACAAGTAGAGTTCAATGAGAAGAAAGGTTTGTACTAATACTGTCTAGACAAGATATCCTTTCTGCCTCTGACTAACTACTATGAAGACAACAATATGCACTGGGTTAATTATTGTAACTGTCTTACTAACCTGTTCTGAAACTGTTTCATTGCTATTTTATCTTTTTTTCTCATTAAAATGAATAAAAAAGAAAAAGAAAAGAGTACAAGTAGAGCTGCTTAAGTAATACTGATCCAGTGGGGAAGCAGATCACATAACAAGTGGGCATGGAAAGAACAAGGACCTTTTCAGGAAGAGACGGATCAGGGGGGCCTAACCACCCACTTGGGTGACCGATGTATAGCTAGACTTACTGGACCAGATGACACCAATTATAGCATAATCTTCAAGTTATTGCTTATACCTTGCGGAGGCACATAGGCCTGGCCTCCAACAGATGCACCCCAGCCATAGTCGTACTGTGTTCTCGTCCTCTGCACTGACTCCCTCCAGGGCCTCACCCTCTGACTGCCTAGAATATTTCTGTCTAACTTAGCTGTCTGTAATAGTCCAGGGGGTCAGCTGTACCCCTGCATATCCAGCTGGCTCTGAGAGGGTTAGCTCTAAACATGCAATGGTCATTCCTGCTTCCCTTGTGCTAAGAGAGGGAGAAAATAAAACAACAGAAGCTTAGGAGATCGCCATGTACCCCTAAGAGCTCCACTGGCTTGGGAGATTCAACAGGAAGCACCTAAAGCAGAGGTCTGACCTTTAATTGTGAAAGCACAAGTTTTTTTTCCTTTTTTCTGGTGCTGCCACTACCTTGACCCATGTGCAGTGCTTTTCTGCCATCCTGGCAGACAGGGCATGTTTTGTGTTACACCTTTTGGGCATGGACCAGCCCTGAGCACAACTTCCCAAGACTTTTAATAAATGCAGCTGTCTTAGATGTGATAGTCCACACCTGAAATCCCAACACTTGGGAGGCTGAGGCAGGAGCATCACTGTGAGTTCAAGGCCAGCCTGAACTGCATAGCAAAATCTTGTCTCAAAAA